GATGTAAAAGCTAATAGAAGGAGGAGGAAGTGGGGGACTTTCATTATTTACAGTGTTTGCTTTCCTGAGCAATTACTACATGTGCTGCAGCCCTGCTTCCTGGACAGTGGCCTGACATCACTTGCTGGTGGGAAGTAAAGAATAAAATTACTGTTTTTTCTCTTTGTTCATGTGCATGCAAACTTTCACTTTTGTTTTAGTAAATTGCCTTTCATCCTATGAAATATGAATTTTCAGCCTATGAATAATTTTCCATCTTATTTTCTCACACTGTTCAGTTGGGAAGGGGGAGTGCTAGAATGGCATAGTGGATACCTGGCATCCAGCCAAGGTAAAGCCACCAAAAATTATAAGGTTGAGTTCCTATGGGTAAGGATCAGGGGGTGGGCTAACAAGGAAAACATCCTGGTGTCTGTCATAGACCATGAGGACGAGGAGGTGAATGAATTATTTTCTAAGCAGCTGGCTGACACTTCACAATCATCAGCCCTTGTTCTTCTGGGAGACTAACCTGCCTGATGTCTGCTGGAAACTCAACACAGTGGAGAGGAGGGAAATCCTGGAGTGTTTGGAAGAAGAGTTCCTGACTTGGGTCACAACCCCCTGTAATGCCACATCCTGGGGCACCAGGGCAATGATGGCCCCTTACACTTGGTGTTGGTGAGGCCACACCTCAAATCCTGTGTCCAGTTTTGGAAGAAGACTTCAAGAAAGACATTGAGGTGCTGGAGTCCAGAGAAGGGCAGTAAGGCTGGTGGTGAAGGGTCTAGAGAGTAAACTTTATGAGAGTGGCTGAGGGAACTGGGGTTGTTTAGCATGGGAGAAAGGAGGCTCGGGGCAGACCTTATCACTCTCTATAACCACCTGAAAGGAGATTGTAGACAGGTGGGGGCACATCTCTTCTACCAGGCAGCTAGTGACAGGATGAGAGAACATGGCCTTAGGCTGCACCAGGGTCCCTGAAAGGGTGATTAAACATCAACCAGGAAGGTAGTGGACACCAACATTAGAAATGTTCAAGAAACAACTGAAGATGGCATTCAGTGCTATAACTTCATTGTTATGATGGTGTTGGGTCAAAGCTTGGACTCAATGATTTTTGAGGTCTTTTCCAAGCTTAATCATTCCATGATTCCTTTTGGCTCTGCTTTCCAACCAGTTTGAAACTGCACCCTGGAACAACTCTTCTACCAGGACACAACTCACCAGACTGCTCAGTCTCCAAGGAATCAGACTCTTTTCTTTTCTTTTCTTTTCTTTTCTTTTCTTTTCTTTTCTTTTCTTTTCTTTTCTTTTCCCCTTCCCTTCCCTTCCCTTTTTTCCTTGCTGAAAAGCTCCTTTTTTACTCCCACATGGAATGAATGCTGTTTATTAGACTGAAGACAAAGAAAATGGATCTTTAGACCCACACACAGTGTGGTGATGTGAGAAGATTGTACTCACTCCATACCTGTACAGGTGGTTCCTCTCTCTCCATACTTAGGCATTCAGAACTGACTTTTCTTCCTGTCACTCATGCATATTCTGTTACTCCCTGTTTTCCCTTTCATAGCTCTGCAGATCTAGAGGGGATGTTTGAAGACATCACCTATCCACCGCTGCCATCTTTCCTCATTCTATCCTCAAAATTGCCATCAGCTGGTAAGTACTGTTGAAAAGGGAGTAAGAATGGCTAATGATAACTTGAGTTTCTCATTAGGAGTGTGCATATTTCAGAATCAAATTTTTATACTAGTTTTATTTGTTAATATACCCCTGACTTTTGGCCTTTTCTACATTCAAATGCCTCTTTAGTACTCAAAATATCAGTTCCTCAGTTTGGCAGGTTTGCTGTTAATTGCAGTCCTCCCTGATGTCTTTGTTTTCTCAAGGATTTCACAAGACCAAAGATAGGGAAAATATTATCAGATACATCTTAAATATCTCTGTTTATCAAATTTATTTATTTTACTTGCTGTGTGTTGGCACCATCAACTTACTGACTGAACATGCAATTTATGTCCTGGATAATTTCTAAAACACTGAAAGAGCCTAAACTGAGATATTCTCCATCCAAAAGTGTGTTTCATACATTGAATGAAAAATAAATGAACATTCTGAGATGACTTCTTATTTTGAGATAGATCTGCTCTTGAAATCAAAGCTTGGAAAAATGGAGGTGTCATTAGCTTTGTGTGCCTTACGGATTTTTGGGGTCTGTAAGTCTTTGAATTTGCAGACCTCAAAAACACCCAAAGACCTTGTTAAGCAGTATTCAAATCTTCAGAACATATTTATATGCAAGGAAGGCATTGTTAAGCACTGTAGGATAATTTATTTTAATTTTCCATTCCGTAGGCAGAACTTGAGAAAATGTTACAAATTAACAGTAAGTTATTGGTTCACTGAATTGAGCCTTTAAAAGTAAGGACATTTGGGAAAGTAATTTGTCATGGCCTTGAGCAGTCTATTTTAAAGCAGTATAGTAGCTTTTCTATGATAACAGGTAACTTAACCTTTAAAATGCAGCTCTTCATGCAAATAAGCCTGGGTAATGGACTTTAAAAGGTGATTTTGCATGCCCTCAGGCATTACTTATTTCTTGGAACACTATGTCTCTCTCACATATCCAAAATAAAGCAGGAAATCTTTTCAGAACACCAGCTTCATTTTGCATTATAATGGATGTAGCGACATCCTACAGTAACTGTAAAATATTATCTAAAGAGAGAACATGCAAGTGGATTTTCTAATGAAACATGGATACTACCCCACAGCAATATATAAAGTGTTTGCAATATCAATCATAAGGTAAAGGAAGATTGACAGTCTCACTCTTGGGCTTTAATTGTTCATGGATACAGCACTAGAGTGGCTATATGTGTCAGGAGTTGGAGTTCAAACCCATTTTGTGGATATGCAGCACTGGTAGGAGATTGAGAAGGTTCTTGAAGTATCTTATATTGAGTGTGTGACTCATTTAATTGGCTCCTACGTCCTGCTCCCCCTCATACTTTTCATGGTGCTTTTCTGCACATTTTCTGTCTCATTCCAAGACCCCACATCAGATCTGAATATGGCAATCAGGAATGGTCACTGTTAGACGACCTGTCAGGTGAGTGTGCCTGGGCTTACAGAGTGGGAGAAAGCACAGGAGGTGTTGCATTGCATAGAAAAAAAAAACAAAAAAAAAAAAAAAACAAAACAAAAGCAATTAAAAAGCCCATCTAGAAGATCAGTACAGCCTTCCTCTGCATCGCCTTCTCCCCGAGGTGTGAGCTGTGGGCCTCCATTCTGAGATCAAAGTGTGGAACCTCAGCTCACAGTGCCACAGGATTCTCCAGGCTGACACCAAGACACCACATCAAGTACAGCTGTGAGTTTGCTCAGGGGGTGTGTCGGTGTGTAGCTACATGTCTGAAAAGGACAGGCAAGTTTCTGACACAAATTCCTTCAAAAGGGAGTTACAGATCTGTAACTCCTTATGACAACAAGTTATTGCTGCAAGTCAACACAAATACTGTTTAGGAGATGTAGAAGCAATGTTTTATTTTTACATTTTATAAAATAAGAAACCAAATCTCCTAACAATTATGACGTCTTTCGCGCAGCCTGTGTCCTTTTTAATTCAGAGATTTTACCACCAGCTTTTAGCAAGTGGCTGACAAATAACATAGGCAAGCTAAGTAGGAAAGAAATAAAATTGTATATTACTTTGGTGAACAGTGCTTGAAAAGGCTTTTATGATCCATAGTAATCCAAGCTAAAACTGCTCTGACTTTGCTTCAATAATAACAGGGATGAGCACAACCATCCATTAATATTTGTTACTTTTGGGAAAAAAAGGATATAAGGAAAAATCTGCTCAGAACTGTCACTAAGATCCTGGACATGAAGGCAGCTTCTGTGCTTATTTCTTTAGGCAATATATCATCTGGAAATAAAAGGACACATTGCCCATTATTCATAACCATGCATCTTGAAAGCAGCAAGGGTGACTACAAGGGCAGAATTTTGTTTGTATGCAGACTCATGTTTATTATGCTACTTATTCTTTTTGTTACAACCATAAACCAACACAGTCCACTGCAGCAACTGCATAATTATCTCCATAACGACCGTCTAGTGCCTTCTTGTTTGCAGTGACTTTGGGAATGCTGGGGTGACCCCTCACTGGAGCATGCTTCTGATCCGCTTCAGATTTTGTAGAAAACCTTGCTCTTTCAGTTTCAGGACAGAAAGGATTGCAGTGGTGTTCATTGCAGTTTGCTCTGAAGCAAACTTGTGTTTTCAGAAATTGGAATTCCCTGTCCTGCTGTCTCAGCCTTGTGCAGAGGTAGAAGTCAGAATCAGCATTTCTTTTAGGCTAAGTTCATAGTAAGGGATGCCTGAGAGTCGTCTTTAAACCCTGATATTTGTAAGAAGGGAAACTAATTTAAAAAACCATGTTTTTGGTTTGTTTTTTTTTTTTAATTTGGCTGTTTTGAGGCATATGACCTGACAAAAGTTATGAGACCTAATTATGGCTTTGATCATATATCAGTTTCAAAATAGCAGTTAATGCCTGTATATAAATGAATACATTTTTATTAATAGTAAATTCTTGTATTTGATCTTGTAAATCTATGTATTCTTGTCCGTGTACTCAGTGGAGGTTGTAGTTTTTTCTAATAAGGATTCATTTCCAAAACACCTGGGTGGTGGCTGATAGCATCTCAGTATATGGGTTTTGAAAAATGGAGAACTGATAAAAAGTAATATATTCAGAATAATCAGAAAATATTTCAAGACATCTCATACTCTGAACTTCAAATGCATCTGAAAAAAATTGACAGGTCTAGAACTTGAGACTGATTTTAAAGTGGAGGAAAAGAGTATTTTGAAAAATGATTACCCAACAAACAAAGGAGAGAAGAATCTTCTTATTTGTAGAAAAAAACCCATTATGCTGGAATAAGAAGCTTCCACAATCCATTGCTTCAGTCACCACCTCCAGTAACATTAAGTAAAGCAGAAATGTTTGGGAGCATGAGAGAGCATATGGTAAAGACGTACCCTCTGTCTCCCTGTTTACATTTCAGTGTTCTGAAAAAGCAATTATTTATTTAAAATCCTGAAACAAGAAACTTCTTTTTTAAAATCTTTGCATTTGCACTTGATTACAAACTCCTATTGAAGATTTTCTTATGAATAGAGCATCTGCTGGGTATCCTGTCCAGATGGAATCTCCAGTAAAGGTAAAAGCTCACGTTCACTTGCTTGGTTCTTCCCACAATCAGAGCATTTGCTTGTTACTTCTCCTTTACCCAGTGATTATTTTTATGAAGCTTGTTGGTCTAACGTTATGTCTGAGACTTCTGTTCCTCTGTAAGTTTGGCTGAAACTTGAAGTCCCTGGGGAGACAGACAGCTACAGCGACAGACAGTCTGTCTGCACAAGCCTCATTTCCTTGAGAAACCATGTTAGAAAGAAAACAGCTGAGATGGGATTACTGCGCCCAGTCCCTGAAGAAGGAAAAGCGGGAATACTCTACATTGGCTTTGCCAATAGTGCCTTTAAGAGTGGGGGACTGCAGTCAGCTTTGTTAATGCTCATGTACCTATGGTATAATGGATTTCAGCAGGTACCTCCACTTAATAACCACTTATAGCCCCATTTAGGGCTGACTTAATTGATAAGAGACTGAACAGTCATGTTGGTAGGTACTGCAGAAGTTAAAATTGGTTAATTCTGGTAAATGACACTTTAGAGTCTTCTGACCTGCTCAATTCAAAAAGCTTTAAATATGTAGGAGAGAAAGGACATCCCTCCATTTATTATTTATACAGGTAAATTCATCCCCTTATCAGTTCCCTGAACTGATCTTACTTTTTCCTCTCTTGGGCTATATATTTTGTTAATAAGACTTTTCAGATCTAGCAGAAATTTAAAATACAAAATCTGAGGCTGTCTAAGATCATCATGGCATCCAAATTACCTTTTTTTTTTTTCCCCAGGACATACTCATCTCTATCATTCTTGTCAGCAAGTAACCAGAAGGAAGAGATTTATAAAGCAGATGTCAGAATGTCAAATCTGACTTCAGCTGATTTTCTGTAAGTTTATTATCATATGAACTACTGTGTTTAAGGATATATAAAAAAGCCCAAAGTTTTGCTTGCATTAGTAAATAAAATATTTTAAATGAGAAGCCTACAGGCCAAGCAGTGGAAAAAAATTCCATTCTAACCTTTGGAAGGAATTTTGCTCTTTTTCCACAAGAACCAATCAGTTTTTATCAGACAAAGCCTTTATTATTTGATAACTCCCTGTGCCCTCACAAATGACTGCTTATTTTCCATCAGCCATCTGACTGCTAGAAGCTTGAAAAACAACACATGGTGGGGCAAAATAACTGCCATACTTTAACCAACTGTGTCTGATTTTCTCTTCTGGTAAGGGTTTTTTTGGCTATAGAAAACATCTGTTTTTAATGAAGACAAATAAGTCAATAAAATTAATATGTATGTTATTGTGAGGTTTCCTTCCCTTTCTATGTAAATATGATTAGCATTTTGAACTCCAAGTACCTTTTTTGGAGTTTAAATATAGCTCCCTGTTTTTTGGCATCAATACAATAATAATGATCAAACACATTGGAAGAAGCTGCAAGGAAAGAATAATTTGTGCACCTTCCGTGGATATTCTTGGCCTCACATAAATCCATTCTCTCTGGATTTCCTAGAACTGATTTCTGTATTCATGCTTGTGTCCAGTAGGATCTTGCAAAGGTCAGTGTGAGTGGAGACAATGGTAAGATTAAGATCCAAGTAAGAATCTGAATCTGTTTTAAATAGTAATTCCTTCTTTGGTTTTTTTTTTGTTTTGTTTGTTTGGTTTGGGTTTTTTGTTTGTTTGTTTTTTTGGCCATTGAAGTGCAAAGGTTAATTTTCTTAACTTGTAGAACTAAATTTTGAGAGTCAGGGTTTTTTATATTAGAACAACTTTGTTTTCTTCACCTTTGGCCATTGCTACCTATTTCAACTTGAACAGTTTGTACCCACACAATTTCTTTTATTTTTTGTTGTTTATGGGTTTTGTGATGTTACTCATGGCTTATACCCAGCCAAATATCAAAGCGTGTTCTCAAACAGTATGCATGGATAGTTTTACAGAGGTATCAGGTCATCTATGCTCTTTATTCCTTTTTTTATTTAGTACCCTTAGTAGCTGCAGGATCATTTAATCATTGTATTACTACAGATCTTTTGGCTGGGAAACTGGAAAGATGTAGCCAGTACTCATCCTGTTTTCCAACCTTGCCTATTCACCTCTGGTGGTGAGATCCAGCAGTCATCTTCTTCTCTCACATTTTCCTGAGCCCTGCAATAACTGTGGAGAAATAGTTCAGTTGTTTTTGAAGTAAATAGAAGTTCATATGTTAGCCAAAAAAAAAATAGTTTGGTATATTTAGCAAAATTCATGTAACAGCTAACATCACCTGAGCCAAGCCACTGCTTTTGAGACATGCCATTTCCATTCAGAGCTTTTATTTAGATGAAGACATAACAAAATTTTATTTCAGCCAGACTTGATTTTAGGTTTAATTTGGACTGATAGTGCATGGCTAATAGATACTTGAAGTTAGAGGGCAGGTTGTCATGTAAGTTTATGCTCTAGTTTGTTAGTTTGTAATGTCAATTTTAAAGTAATGACCAAGGGATTAATTTTGGAAGGGCTGGTAAAGCCTTATTTTGTTGAGATAATTGATAACCTGATAACTGATAACCTGATAACTACAATTCCCATTGCAGGTTTCAGGTTTTGATTGTTTATAGCCTTGTAAATATTTCACAGTTGGAGCAAGAATATCCCACACTAGTTCTCTGCCTCAGTTGGTGCTTGATTAGGTGTCAGGCATTCAGATATTTCTGAAATGTTCTGAAGTATGTCTAGGGATAAAAGGAAAAATTAACAACCAGTACTGCCTGTGTTAACATTCATGAAGAATTTTCCCCTAGCACCTCATTTTGCAGGAATTTGTGAGGAAGTAGTTAGTTTGTAAATCTTTGAATAATTATATTTTGCACATTAATACACAATATACCTTTAAGATTCTGCCTGGCACTGGAAATTCCCTAGTCCAGGATGGAGCAAGGGGAAAAAACTGTTCTTTGGTCTTGAACCTGGCATCTAAACTGGGAGTCTAGCTCTTTTTTTTTTGTTGTTTTTTTTTTTTTGTTTTGGTTTGGTTTTTTGTTTTTGTTTTTTTTTTGTTTGTTTTTTTTTTGTTTTTTTGGTTTTTTGTTTTCCTAAGGCTCACTCTTGGGGACTGAATATCTGGGCAAAGGGAGATCCTTCTGTGACAGCAGGGAAGAGGTGGATATGAGAGAAAAATGGTAATGGAAAAAATAGTAGGCAATGAGTTCACTGCACAGAGAAAAGTTATGAACGAAGGTAAGCACAGGCAAGCTTATTTCTGGTTGACACTGTGTGATCAACTGTATCAGTCAGAAACTCTACTTAACCCCAAGTTTCATCAAAAAATCAGGTAATCATAGAAGAGTTTTAGATGGGAAGGAACTGTTGGAGACCATTTGGTCCAACCTCCCTGCTAAAAGTGGATCCAACTGTGAAGTCAGATCAGGTTTCTCAGGGTCTTACCTAGTTCCAGCCTCTCTGAGCAACGCTTTGCCATGTCCACTTCAGCTTGTCCATAGTGAGGAAACTCTGAGCCTCTTTCTCAGGCAGACATAACTGACAGGCTGTCTCCTGAGTGGAAAACCTCTGAATCACTCAATGCTGCCTAGTAACATTGGGTAAAATTGTTAATTTCAGTGTAAATATTGGCAGTGGATGGCAGCTTTTTGACAGTGATTTTCTATGAGACTTGTATAAAGTGAGGTGTACAGGTAGCCTGCAGCATCTGTCTGGAGTTACAGAGATCTCTGCTGTATTTCCCTCACTTTTGCTGCATCCAGAAATGTACTTTTTCCTCTGTCTTCTGTCCTTTTCCCTGGTTTACCTGTTTCTAATCTAGTGGGAATCTTACTGGAAACTAAGCTTTTATTCAACTAAGCCTGTCTCTATATGAGCCACCACCTGCTCCTGATGGACACCCCACTCAGCCTGAAGATTTAACTCGGCAGAACTCAAGGTTCTCAGGGAAATAAACTTTACAATTTATCCTGACATCCACCCAAGCACATCACATAGTACAGAAAGTTTGGTAAGATTTTTTAAGAGCATTGCAAAAAGGAAAGAAAAAAAAAAGAGAAAAAGCAAATTTTGTCCTTATCCCTGTTATACAAAATAATTAAGAATGTTTGAAAATCTAGAACAATATTTTGATTAACAGTAATGTATGTATTTAAACTTGTATGCCTGAGCTTTCTAGATTAAAAGAAAAAGTGCATATGTCTTGCATCCAAAAATAATTTCAATTTACAAGTATGGACAGTATTTATGTCAGCACCAGATTTGGTCATGGCAGTTTAGCATCTGGCATGTGGGATTGGCAGCACAGTCAGCTGTTGTATGGAATAGCAGCCTTCTTTTTTATTTGTGATTTTTGCCTATTTTCCCATTCATCTACAAATGGACAAAAAGAGCTCAGGAAAAAACCCCTGCTGCTAGGCTTCTCTTTGAAAGTGTAAGGTGGTGAATTCATAGGAATTACCTATTATATAGGTAATTCACATAAGGTGGTGAATTCCTTATGTGGGTTTCATTAACACAGAATCTTTCTGCAGGTTTTCCAAGGCAATAAAGGCTATTCAATCATTCTGGCTGTGTATCTGGGTATCTCTGTTCCGTGAGAACAAAGGTTTACTCTACTCTTCAATGTTAATAACGTTTTCTCAGATAAGCACACCTTTTGTTATTAGGTTACTTAAATATAGTTCCTATTGCTGGTGAGTAAGGAAGCCATCCCTGGGAGAAAACCTGCAAATTGCCTCCTCTGTTTGGCCTGTTGCTGGCCAGACACCTGGTGAATGCTGCTCAGCAACTCAGCACAGCACAGCTGGGAACCAGGGTGGGATTGCAGGGTGTGGATAGTGAGCAGTTGTGGTGGCTGGAGCTGCCACAGCAAGGGGAAATGCAGCACTGCAAAATTCATAAGATTAAAAGCTTCAAGAATTCCTTTGTTGAAAGAACTTGATACTTTTCAACTTAAAAGTGATATATCAAGTTTAAGGCATGGTGATGCTTTATAGTAAGCTATCCATTATGGTTAAATACAGGCTCATGTTCTTCTGAACTCTGAAATCTGATTTGAAACTTTGTTGGACTTCTGTGGACACACAGTTATCCTTTTAGTGAGTTTGTATTTTATCTGGGACCAGTACACTCATTCCAAGCTGATTAGTACGCTGTGTGCTCTAATTGTTTCTCTAATACACTTAAATCACAATGATATTTATATGCTGTAGGAGTACTTAAAACCTAAAACCCCCTTTTTACCAGTAGTAAAAATCCATGTATGACTGAGTGACTGATAGATAATTTCTGGTGGTGAAATAATTTCTGTAGGTTGTATGTTTTCATTTTTTAAGTCCTTTTCTTATAGGTGGGCTAGTTCTCCAGCCAAACTTCAGAGGACCTATGCAAAGCCAGGAAAGACTCTTTGGAGTCCTGCAAGGTTCAAGTCAGGCAGAAGGATCCACCCTCCCCATGGGCAACAGATATTTTTTCAAGGTAAAGAGACTCTCAGGGATGACTGCTCCTGGGGAAGGGAAAAAGGGTGTCAAAAGATGAAGTGAAAAACTTGAACACCCTTGACTGGAGAAATGGTCTCAACTCTTCACAGCCCAGTCATAAATAAAGTGCTGCAAAGGAATTGTTTTTGTGACAAACTTGCTCGTGGGCATTTAGAGGACAAAGTGCTTTGTATAGTGATTTGTGCCAGACATCTTGGGACCATTCAGTGTAGTTTTGGATCTCTTCCACCATTTTTAGATGAAAGGATGTGAAAAGAATTGATCTTTCAATTTTTCTTAAACATGGTGGGATTTACATTGCTCTGCATTTGTTCCTTTAGAGTGTTAGTTGAAGAGCAGTATCATAGGATGTTGCTCAGCTCATTTATCAATGTTTATGCAAAATATTTATGGAGGTGGGTCCTATGACTGTTTTAATTTCACAGATTAAATGTTTCAGGAACAGAGATGGATAACACCAGACATTCTAAATAGCATCAGGTAAATGGAAAAAATGGATGTATGTGTTTATTGCCTTTTCCCATGCCATTTTCCACAGAGATTTGTCTAATAGTTGCTTCTATTTTGATGTGGGAGCTATAACTTCTAAAAGGGTTTTAGAACAATGAACATATGGTTTCTTCATGGAAAGAGTAGCCAGCTCTTTCTGTGAAGTTTAATAAAGTGATCTAATTAATTTTGCATCTATTAAGAGGTGAAGACTTTAGAAAATGAAGCCTGATTATGGAAAAAACCCTAATACCATCTCCTTCCTGGGTAGGTTTTGCTGTGGTGTTTCTGTTCTGGAGTGAAATGAGTATTTAACTAAATTAAATGAGCTTTTCACTGAAATGAAAACAACAGGCCTCCTTTTTAATTCAAGGTAAACACTATTTGTGAAATACTTGATTTCCTTTGAAATATCTACTAACCAAATGTTGATTTCCCGAATTTAAGACTAATATTTGTTAACAGCAAAATTATCATCAATCAGGACTAAATTTCCAAGAGCACAGACAGGCACATAATGCCTGATGAAATATGGTGACGTAAATGAAAATCATTTAACTTAAGAGGGACAGAACCAGGAGCAGGATTATTTCTGTGACTCTCAATTCTTAACTATTTCATTACTCCATACACTTTAAGGAAAGAAGGATCTGCAATTCCTTTTTCTGTTGTCTATGCAAGCAGGTAGAGAAATCCACATGGGTACCGAGCCAGTTACAATTGTTGTTGATGTGTGTTCTCCAGCAATGTATTCAGACACAATTTATCAATAGTAAAAAATGGGGTCTCCACCATTTTCCATGACAGTTTGTTTCAATATTTACTCATCTTACCTAAAGCAACCACTGCTTTTTTCACTTTGATTTGGTATGGCTTCTTTTTGAGTCTTTGGCTTCAGTTATGCCTTTGACATATGCATTTTACAGATAGGCATGGTACATGAAGACCTGCCAAGGTGCTAAGAATTTAGCATGACCTTGATAAAAATCCTTTCCAAAGTCCATTATAATGCTTTTCTGCTACATCATGCCAACAACATCACTCAGTAAGCCATCTCTGCTTAGGAAATTGAGCTTCAAGACTAAGTAGGTTTGAGTAGGAACAAAAAGTCCCTCTGCATGTAATAAACAAAAAAGTTATTTCTGTTTGATGATTAATTCAAAATTGATCTATCTTTGCTTAAGAGTAATAAACATTCCTGAGACAAAGTCTGAAAAAGAGCAGAACATGCAATTGCAAGAAATTCGATTGTGAAATTGTGTTTTTATCCTGGATATGTCTAACATGCATATAATTTGATTCAAGCTTAGCACAGGCCAGAATTAGAACAGCAAATTGCTTACTTTTAGGAAGAAGTGTAATCTAGGGCTTTACTGCTTACATTATTTGTGTAATTAGAAAAAGGCTATGGTTGAAGTCACTAATTTAATCTCCAAAAAACTGTGGCTTTTGGTAACCTACTGACATTGAAATCACAAAGATTTTAGGGCACATTTTAACTAATCTGTAACTAAACGAATAATGGATTTGTCTTTTTACAGTGTTTTATTCATAACACTGTAACTGAAAATGAAACCACAGTTTCTTAACTATTTTACATGATTGGAAATTTCATTTTATTATTCAAAGATAATGTATAGATCTTGTCTAATATTTACAAAATACAGTCCAATATTTGAATTCTCAAAGAAAAGTCTGCTTTCATTTTCAGGTCTAGTGATAGGTGCTCAGTTTTCACAATACACCCTTCAGCCTTTGTCTGCTCTCTGCCTGTTAATAAAATTTAATCTAAGTGATATAATTCACTGATGATAAATCATGAATTATATAAATTATAAAAAAACCCGTTAAATTGTATATTTTTAAAACGTTTTTTGCATATTTACATTTCAGTTAGGTTCTGTATAATGGCATTCCCAATATTACTCATTTGAATTGTGACTTTCAAGTAAATTTAATCTTTACACTTGAAGATTCATCTTGAATTACAAAAGATAAAATCTCTTTTAGGTGAACAACTCCTACAGTGTTACAATTATTTATTAAATGTTTTCAATATGGCAAAATGTAAACAATATATTTCTTTGTTACCTAGTAATCCAATGTGTGTTGGAAGTTGTGGCAAGCATCATTTGATTGGAAATTAGGACCCACTTAGACAAAAAATAGATTCTTTTCTATTGAATTAGAAACCTTGTTTCATTTCTTTAATGAAAGCAATAAAAATATCAGGTGCTTTTATTACTCTGTTTCATGGAAGAAATTCTGACAGTACTTAAAAGCTGAACTGAGTCAGGAGAAGACCAAGTCTTTCAAAGATTTAGACTTAATAGATCTTCATCTCATTTTTATTTCTGAGCTGAAAGAAGAAGACAAGATTTATTGCTTTTCTGACTTTTCATTTGTGAACCATATAATCTGATTCATGGGCAAAAAGACAATGTCCTGAAAAAAAATACTTCAAATTTTAATCACTTTCTGTTCTGGACAATTAACCGATATATTCTGTCTTTCTTTAAAATTTCTACAAACTTGTATTACTTCAATGGCTATAATTTGTTATGGCTAGTATGACTGATGGGTAGTATTTAGGGGCATAGCACTGTTTTCATTTTCTGTTTTTAGGCATTTAATTTAGTATTTTGTATCTGGAATAATGGCATGGACTTTCTTGACCTACCTCTTTGAAAACTGCTACTGTAAATAATATATTACATTGATAGAGAATTGCTAGCAAGTATGTTCCAAGTAACAATTAATAATCTTTCCAATAAACTTATTATTAACACAGGGATTTTTGACTATTATTAAATGTCAATTAGTACTATATTTCACAGTAGCAACTGAGAGGAAAGCCATGAATGTGCTTCTGAAAGGGAAGAAGCATGATTCAATTAATTCACCTACGTCAACAGTGTTTCCTCATCATTGCTTTCAAAAGTGGATTATTATTAAGCAGTGTTTTTGGTCTGTAGAGGATCAGTTGTGTCTTAGGCATGCACAAAATAATTACAGGCAGATTGCAAGGTGAACCATCTCTTCTGAAAAAAAAAAAACAACAACCAAGCCCAAACACAAATCCCCACCCTTAGCAAAAACCCAAACAAAGAACCCCACCAAGATTAAATAAAAAACAAGACATTTCTTCCTGTACTGTTTTTACACTAAACTAAAATATTTTGGGGAAGGAGGCTTTATTATAGCTTCTCTATTACTTCCAAAAGAGGTGAAAGTTGCAAGAGGAAAATAAGAGACAAGGTAAGGAATATATCACCAACTTCCCCATTAGCTGCTTTTACAGAGATGGTCATGTCCCTTCTTCCTCACCTTTCCTCCTGTACATCTCTGCTGCTTCCCCACACATGGATCTAGTGCTCCTTAAAGTGGAACCTAAAGCAAGGGATACATGCTCTAGAATGTGGATCTGTGCCTTATCAGCACCTGCTGATGGAGAAAGGAGTTAGAGGGAAACTCATCCTTACATGATGGAGAATATTTGTTACTTCTTCTCAGTCCTATCTCTTCTAGCTTATGCAGACAATTTCAACCAAGAAGTAAAGCTAAAACATGTTAGGAGACAGGAACTGGTCTGCAGCATTATGTGGCCACATGTCTCTTTGAACATGAGTTCAAAGTAAGGTAAGTGAGTATTTGGTAAAGTGAATTCAGTCCAAAATATCTACAGCTCTAAAACTCAGAGACAGACGTGTTGGTGGCTGAATCAGGAGAAACACATCCTGAAAGACTTCTTTTTGACTGAGTACATGTTCAACAATATGTAAAAGGTACAAGGTAAAGATATAATCGTCAGGGCTCTTGAAAACAGGATTGCACAAAGAAATACTTCAAAGGTAGAGCAAGAAAATCCAGCTGCATATGTACACAGCTTGACTTTTTGACACCACAGGATCTGCAGCATCTCTGTAAATAATTTCCTGAGTAGAGCCCTTGGCATTCTTTTGTGCAATTTATTATTCAGTATACAGTTCATGAAACACTGGGGAGAATGAATTTGTTGTTGCATCAGAGATGCTTGACTGAACATAAAGTAGGACTCTATGGCTCAACATGTTTGTCATTGATAATTATTAGTGCTACACTTGCAATTCCACTGAATTTGTGATAGAAGTGGTATTTGCAGCTGGGTACTAACTGATTACCTACCAGAGAAATTAGCAGCTGGCTCTTGCCCAAAACTATATGCTGATTTTAGCATGAATTGCCGTAGCTCTATACAAAGAGAATTAAAGTATTAAAAATTTCCATTAACTCTTTCTGAAAAAATGCTTACATTTGTTTCCTTCCAGAAAAGGAAGCTTCTGTAAAGCAACCTATAGGGGTTCCTTTTCCCATATGTTGGAAGTTCTCCATTATACAGTGATTAGGGCACGGTTTCTCCTGCCTCAGTCTCTCTGCCCTTTGCACACACTGGAGGGAGGATGTGGTGCCTCAGCTGGGGCAGCCCCAGGAACAGGCTCTGAGAAGAATGGATTGAAAGCAGCCCTGGAGAGAAGGACCTGTGAGTGTCTGTGGACAAGAAGCACAATGTGACCCGATAATGTGCCCAGAAAGCCAGATGTTTGCTGGGCTGCATCAAAAGAAGCACAAGCAGCAGATCCACCCTGACCTGGAGTGAAACTGTTTGGGCTGGAGTCAGAGCTATGAGCCTGGGAATGAAGAGTGAGCATGGGAATGGGGAAGAAGGGAAGACATGAGAATGCAATATGAAAAGGCTGGCAACTAGGGCTGTAAAGCCATTTTTGAGGGAGAATATGGAGATGAGCAGAAAACGAAAGTTATTCCAACTATTTCCCCTAGGGAAAAGTATGAGCTAAAAATGAAGATTTTCCCATCTGCAAGCTGAAGTTTGCTTCTCCCATCTTTCAAATGCTAAATTGGGGTGGGAAAATCAGCTAAATTTCTTGTCAACAAAACATTTTAATATGATATTGATCATAGGTAAAATAATGCTCTTGTTGAAAGTGTCTTTGTATCAGCAGAAACAATTTGTTCCTTTTTAGAAGAAAACAAAGCCAATGAAAGACAATAGGTCTCTTAAAAACTTCAGTGCCTCAAGCTTTAGGAAAACAGGAGGCAAATATGGACAGAATTCCATCTCATATACAACAGAAAATGTTATCAAGGGTGAAAAAACATGCAAGTTAAAAGATCTGGAAAAGTTATTCAGATTGAATAACTTAACGGCTTATCTAAAATACTTTCTCCTACAAGAAAAACAGCTTTCCTAGTTTTCTAATTTTTACTGGAAAAATATAGTCAAGGCTTATCACCTGATACCTCTTTCTTCTTTTTTTTTTTTTATTTTTTTTGGTTACTTAACAGAGTCACAGAAGCAGAAATGATGAAGTTTAATCTTTAAAACTAAAAGCTTGCCTTAATTTCACAGTAATACAGCATCCACATTGATGTAGACTCTGAAAACATACTACTGTAGACTTTAACTTGTTTTAGAATGTGGATAGATGTTAAGCAATGTCTGTCATGTATTACAAAAATCTCTATGTATGAAGTGAATATTCAGGCTTCCTTGTCTAGTACAGGGGCAATAAAATAGATCTTTTTCTCAATTCTATTAATATCAATGGAAGACTTCATTGAGCTGGAAGTAAAAATAGCATACATTTCAGCACTGCTCATCTTGCAATGCTTTAGACTACCTGCATTGGATGCATACTGTCTCAGCTTCTAATAAAGATGCTGCAATCATTTGTTTTGATCAAGAGGACATTATTTTTCCTTGAAACTTACCGCAGTTTATCATATTATGCCGTGCAGGGGAAAACACATTTCTATTTGTTTAGTAAAATGCCAAGGGGAATGAATCAGGTGGAAAAATTACATTAGAAAGCTTTAAAATTGTCAGAGAGGCAACCCTCTGTGGACAGGACAACAGTAGCCATCAAATTCTGTGTGGTTATGGGATCCTTTGCCTTCTTGTTGTCTCGAATTATGACATAGCCCAGTCATGAATGTTTACAGTCTGAAATCACTTTAAACTGTATTTCAACAGCCTGGTTTAATCCTAGATTGAGCCATGCTTTTAATCTGTTTCTGGGAATTATCCAAAAGAATTGTATGTATTTTCTGTGATGAGTTTAGGAGTTGGAAATCTTTAAATTAAACTGGAAAGGAATTAACCAATGTGCTGTGGGTGGTAACTTAGAAGCCAGTGGGTTACTGTGGAGATTTTGGATATTTGCACTTGGGACAGACTGAATGTAGTTTTGGGTAATTCATACCAATTTTCAAAAGTATCTGACATAGTGGAACTTATAAAATCATGTACTTTACCTTGCCATTGGATCAACTAAGGATATGCACACATTCATTTAAGGATCACTGGTCATGTGACCAGCAGGAGCAGGTGAAGTACCTTAATGTAATCATATACACATACTATTAATCACCTTTAAAAATAGTTTATGTCTATCCAAGAGTGCTGCAGAAATGTAATTGCCAGACAGTGTCTAAGCCTTTTGCCAGCACTGTGAAATATAATCTTCCATACAGATAATATTTGCAAGACTCTTTTCAATAATGGATC